TTATTATTATTAGTGAAAATATCAAATGGTAGAGTTTTATCATCACCTTGTCCAAATGTTTTCACATATGAGAAAAACAATTATGAAGGATTAAATGGAGATTGGATATTTCCATCTGATAATCATATATGGAAAGGTGTGGTGAGAGTTGAACCAATTTTTCCTATCATTCTTAAAATAAAATTACTCGTACCTGTTCTCCTTCCAACGGTAAGTAATAAAAATAAAATAAATATTTCTTTAAATGATAATTTTAATTTTAATTTTAATTTTAGAAATACGTTGGAAAAATTGAATTGTTCGAAGATAAAGAAAAAGTCGTTGATAAGATAAAAAATAATAATTTGGATAAGATAATATATTACGTTTATTTTCCATCGAATATTCCAATACCGGAAGTGATTTCAATTCAAGTCAATTCTCACGTTATTTGTTCACAAATTCCAGGTTATTATTATTATTTTTTATTATTAATTAATGATGAATTGTCATTTGATAAATACATTTTTTTCAAGTGCCAAGAAGATTAAAAACGATTTTAATTTTGGAACATTCATTAATACCAGCAACCGGAAATGTGAGTTTAAGAAGCGAAACTGGAAAATATGATTCTTCTTATTTTAATTTGAATTATAAAAAAGGTTTGTAAGTCGTCATTTTTTTTTATACTTTTCACGTGTAAAAGTTTTTTTTTTTTTTTTTTTAGAATTCATCGATAAAAGCTTTAATAAGGATTTAAATTGTGGTAAACGTAACAACGTTAAAAATTATTTAATGGAACGTAATTCGTTGATTACAATCGGAGATTGGCCGTGGATGGTTCCGCTTTTTAAAAAAACTTTACTAGGATTACAATTTTTTTGCAGTTCTACTCTTATAAGTTATTCTCTGGCATTAACTGGTACACCTTTTACATCGCCATGTTTTTTTTTTTTTTTTTAATAAGAAACTTGAAAAAAAGTATTCGTAAATTGCTTTTTTTTTTTCGGTTTTTATTTTAGCAGCTCATTGCATTAAATTTAAAAATTTTTTAACGGTTAAAATGGAGGACATAATTGCTTACGTTGGAAAATTAGATATAACAAATTGGACGGAAGAAAATTCACAGCCTAGATTATTAAATGAAATACACATACATCCAGATTTCGATTCGGATGATTTACATTCGGATTTAGCCGTTATTAAATTTAAAAAACCCGTTAATCCGGCTTACAACGTGGCACCAGCTTGTTTATGGCAGGGTGACGATAAATTATCCTCCGTTGTTGGAAAAAAAGGCGTGGTATTGTTGTTTTCTTTCTTTCTTTTTTCCTTTCATTTTTTTTTTGTTAGTTTGTTTTGTAAGTAATCGAAATGTATAAAATTAGGTATTCGGTTGGGGAGCCGACGGAACCGGAAATAAATTAACATCGACTCCTAAATTAGCCGTTATGCCTATCATTTCTCAAGAAGAATGTTTAAGAAGTAAAATTGAATTTTTATTTTTAACGACGAATCGGACTTTTTGCGCCGGATTCAGAAACGGTGGGAATTTATTATAGTAAAATTAACATTAATAATAATAATAATAATAATAATGACGACAAACACGAAGAGATTATTAAGACTAGTTACATGTGTGCTAAAAATTCATTATTTTTAGAATTTAGTTGTTCTAATTTTTTTTTTTAATAAACGCAAAGGATAATTTAAATAATAATAATTTTAAAAAAAGGTTATATTTTTTGATTTTTAGGTACGGGACCTTGTAGCGGAGACAGCGGTGGAGGTTTATTACTCCCACAAAGAGATAAATATGGTAATCTTCGTTGGTTTTTACGCGGAATCATATCTTTATCACTTTTGCAAGATAGCAGTTTAAAATGTGACGTGCATCAGTATAGCGTATTCACGGATGTGGCAAAATATCAAAATTGGATATTTAATTATGTGGAAAATTAAAAAGGTCAGATATTTTCTCTATTCATTCGTTAAAAAAACTGCCATTAATTTTTACGAAGGGGTTGAAATTAAAAAAAAAAAAAAAAAAAAAAAATGGCGACATTTAAAAAAAAAAAAATCGTTAAGTAATAATAATTAAACGATTAATAATAGTTAAAACGGTGTGTGGTGTTGCTCTAAATTGTGTAATTCGTCGTGAATGCACAATAATTTTGAATAAAGATGACCGTTACCATGAGGATCGATGACCAAATGAGGTTACCCAATATGGGATTCCCCCCCCGCCGAATCCCCTTCGTTTACCCCCCCCCTTTTTTTTTACTGTTTTTTGTTTTTCCGACACGATTGTGTCCAGTTTTCTTTGTGAAATAGAAGTGCATGGTGGACATTATTAAATCGTGTGGGGAATTTATTTATTTAAATTCGTAATAATTTTGTCATCATTTTATTTTTCATAAATACTTTTTGTGCTTTTCTTTTTTTTTATAGGAAAACTTTAAAATGACAATTAAACACAATTTTTGTGAATATTAGTATATATATATATATATATTAATATAATAACTAAAAAATTTTTTTAATAATTCTGCATAATAATTAAAATACATAAAACGATAAGATTAAAGAAATAAATCGACCTGATTTTGTTTTTTTTTTTTTTTTTTTTTCGGGTTTATTATGCTCACGAATTTGAATATTTAATTAAAAGGAAAAAAACCGGAAATGAACAAACACATGTCGTAAATATTTTTATTATAAAATAATTTGTTGTTTTATGTAATTTTTAGATGTTGTTGTTGTTGTTTCTTATTTATACAGTTGTCAATGATTTAAGTTATGTCAAATGATTTTCCAATCATTATTATTTATTTATTCACAATGCAGTATGATTGTTAGTGTATATATAATAAGTGGTGTAATGATTAAATTTATTTTTTTACAAATAATAAAATGGGGTAAACAAAAAAAAAAAAATGAACGACGTTACGACGGCTTTAAACACACCGATTCGAACTTTGAAATCTGGAAGTTCGGCCAAAAGTCTTCAGTTGACACCCGTTTGGGAGGAAGTTTTGAAAAATAATCGTCTTCCGCCGAAAATAAGTCAAAATTTAATATTTAACGAAATATCAAATCGTTTGGAAGATTATGAATGGCCCGTACGACAGCATGCATTTAGAGTTCTCCACGATATAATTTCGGTTTTGCCAAAGGATCGACTTGATAAAAACATTAACGAAAGTGATATATTTAAAAAAATGATTATCAACATGGGTCATTCGGCTCCGGGAATAAGAAAAGTCGCAACGGAAATCATACAAAAATATTTTAAAGAAACTGGACAATTTGAAAAAAATTTAAATGAATATTTGGAATTTGGTATCGTTGATGAATCACCAATTAATAATGAACAAATTGGAATTTTAAGAGAAAATGTCACGTTAGGAGTAATAATGTCTTTGATTGACGTACTCAAACCTTTTATAAAATCTTCCAGCAGTAGACATTATTCAATAACGCATAATTCCATGGCGAAAATAATCGAAGGAATCGTTGAAAAAACTAAAAATTTATATTATCGTGTGAGTTGTTTGGAAACTTTATGGAAATTACGAGAATTGATAGGTAAACAAAGATTTTTAAAAATTTTGGAAAGCATACCGGAAAATGACTTAATATTAGATTTGATGAATTTAAGAGGAACACTTAATGAAAGTACAACGTGGGAAAATGAATCCAAATCCGATAATTATTATGAAGAAATTAAAGAATATCCGACTGACACCAATGCTGGATCAGATAAGGAAATAAAAGAAAAACCTTACATAATCACAAACGAAACCAGCGAAGAGGATACAGATGGTACGGATACGGAAACGTATACCAAAGAACCAGCTGCAAATGATTTTGATGAAAATCAAAATATTAACGGTTCGGAAAACGCTTCTTTAGGTTTTATACCTATCGATGAAAAAGTACAAAAAGAAGAAAGATTGTGTCCAATTACTCATAAAGTTTACCCTTGTCTGAACACCAAAATGTAGCAAACAAGAATACAATTAATGGTGGTGATGATGAAGAAGATGATGAAGAGGAGGAGGAGGATGAGGAGGATGATGACGATGACGACGAAGAAAATGACGACAATTCAGAAGATTTTTTAATGCAGAAAAGATTTACAACCGAAGATGGTGATTTTGTAATGAAAGTTCTTCCAAACAGCGAAGATATTAAAAGCGAAGAAAAAATGAGAACACCTAGAAGAGTTAGGTTCGGGGGAGAGGTTATCAAATTAAGAACACCCGACAGCGATACCACCGACGTGACATTAGAAATTCAAGAAAATGATAATCGTCGTGAGGAAAAATCAAATTTAGATTTGCCTAATGCTAAATTTCCCACCCCGAGTCAAATCCCTGTTCCGGTGACTCCTGCCACGACTTCGCCTAAAAAAAATAACGTTTTTAAAATGAAAACGGTTTACCCGCCAAATATGATGGATATTAATAATTCATCCGTTAGAAATAATAGTTTTGATTCTAATCCATCCTCTTCCGGTTCGGATAACGAATTAAAAGAACAATGGGAAAAAGATTCGGATAATAATTTTTGGAAATGGCTGGAATTTCATTTCGTAGAAGAAAATATTGTTAAAGATTTAAAAAATAAGGTAAACAACATTCGTAAAATAATAAATTAATATTTTGTTCCAGGTATGAAACATTTTTTATTTATTATCACAAGTGAAAAATTAATGTTTTGCTGTTTTTGTTCCAGGACGATTGGAAAATTCAATATCAAGCTTTAGAACATTTAAAAAAAATTTTGGAAAATCCTTTAAGCGTGGAAAAAATGAAAAACGTTGAAAATTCAATTTTAATAAGTTCTTTGTTTAAATGTTTGCTCTACAAATTTCCAGAGGATCACAATCAGCAAATAACAACGTTATCATTATCAATCGTTAATAAACTCATTGAAATTTTACCAAAAGACGTTATCCGGAAAAATATAGATATAATAGTTCCAGGATTATGTTCTTTTGTTGCTGGATTTCGAAACGTCAACATTAAAATTGAATCCGTTCAAACATTGAAAACTTTATTTAACACTTTGGAACCTTCGACTATAATTAACGTTCTCATTGGTAAAAATTGTTTATTTTCTTCTAAAACAAAGGTATTATTATTATTATTATTATTATTATTATTTATATTTAACTTATGAAAAAACTCATTTTTTTAAAATATTGTTTTTTTTTTTCTTCCAGCTCAGAGAGAATGCTCTTTTGGCCATAATATACGCAACGATGACTTTTCCAAGCAGTTATTTCGACGTCGATAAAATACTGGAGAAGGTAACGGATTCGACAGCGGATTCCAGACGACGAGTAAGACACGGAGCTTTAGAGGCGATTGCCGTCCTTGCACAATTTTCCTCACCCAAAACGATCGCGGATAACATAAGCAGAATCGGTGATAAAATGCCGACATCTTTGACGAAAGCCGAATTGACTGCCGCCATTCAAGCTCGATTATCCCGACGAGTCCTTCCGTCGATTTCAAACGAGGGCCTTGTTTTATATGCTTTACAAATTCCAGCGTCGAAAAGATTTGGAATTCCGGGAAATCCCATGGGTAAATTTTAAAAAAAAAAAAAAAAAAAATGATTCACGATTAAAATTTTTCCTTTTAAATTCTCATGGCACCTTATCTTAAAGAGTTTACGTGCTTCACGCTCACACGTCCTTCGATTATTATTATTATTTTATTTTTGTTACGTCATTGGGGGTTTTTGTGGGACACGTAAAAAAAAAAAAATTAATTTTTTTTTTTTGAATAAAATTATAAATTTTATGCAAGTTATTTATATATTATTATTAAAAAAAACCAATGATTAATCGTCGTTTTAATTATTTTATATATTGAATAAAATTTCAGGTGCTGACGTCGATTGGATTCTTTCCGGATCAGGTTCCATTTCGACGGGATCGGCAAAGACAAAAACACAATTAAATGCAGCTTCAAGGTTGGATGTTAAACCTTCGACTCCACTTTCCCCCAACAAATGGTCATCGTCCAAGGGAACAAGTAAAAATCCAACAAATCACGTTGATGATGTTCGCACAACAACAACAACAACAACAAATCCTTGGACGATACAAAAAAATAAAAAAGAATTGAAAGATATGAAAGAAGATAATAATAATAATAATAGTAATGAAACAAAGGAAACAAATGATAATGATAAAAAGGAAAATATTGAAAGGAGTGAAGAAGAAGAAGAAACTTGGGCACTTGTACCATTATCAGCATTGGTAAGTATTACAACACTTTAATTTTTTTTTTTAAACTTTTATTATTATTATTATTATTTTTAAAAATGGCGACGGGATTCGATAGTCACATAACATCTCCTATGCATGTTTGTGGTATAAAACGTGACGACGTGGTCACGCACGTTACGGTTTTTTATAATTGATTATAATTTTTCACGTTACGTCACGTAAATTTTTAATTTTTACATTTGCCATTTTTATTTATAATATTAATAATAATAAAATTAACTTATCAATCAACATTAAAAATAAATAAATAAGTAGAAGAAGAAGGAGGAGGAGGAAAAACCTTATACGACGAACGACCTTATTTCAAATTAATAAATCTTATTTACATAATTATTTATTAATTAATACATATACATTATTTATTTATTTATTTATTTGTTTACCGTTGAAGGTTAAAGGTTAAATTCATGTTAGAAAATTAAAAAATTTTCTATTTTTAAATAATAATAATAATAATTTTTATAATGATAGCCTTAAACACGTTTTTTTTTCGTTTTTTTTTTTTTTTTTTTTTTTAAATGATACTTTTATCACATTTATAACAAATGGTTAAATCAATCTTTTTATAAAATTTTTTTTTTTTCTGAATTTTCCCTTGTACGATGAAGAAAACATTGAAAATGTATAAAATCGAAAGTAGTTATTGTTGTCATGGTGTTTTCTTTATTTTCATTTAAGACTTTTCATTTAATGGTTACTCTCTGAATTTGTGTGTGTGTTTATGAATTTTATTTTAAATATTATTAATAAAAAATTTAAATAATGTGAATGATAATTTTTATTATTAATAAATAAATAAATAATAGGAAAATGTTGTTGTGTAGAGTTGTGGGTTACAGACCTTTTTTATTTGCTTCATTTAAAGTGAGTTAATTTTTTTTTATTCTCCCCTTTTTCCCTACCCCCACTTTTTTTTTCAGGATTTTTACTTAAATAATAATTTAATGTAAAATTTAATATTTCAGGATGAAACGAATTTAATTAGAGATAAAAACGGTGGGAATAATCAATGGGGAGACACGTATAACGACACAGCTCCCCAATATTGGTCTCCTTCATTGGGTTACGTTCGGCCTCTGTATTTAAAATTAAATCCTAATCAGGAACAATATTTGTTCAGTAGGAGCACGGATGATATAAGTAAAATATCATGTCTTCAAAATTTAGATAAAAAGAGTGAAAAATATTGTAAAGATGATTCGTCCGAAGTGAGACTTTTAACGCCTTCAATATTAA